CATCACATCACTCGGGACACTCCTATAAGTGCTCAGTCCCAATCTTCAGCAGCAAGCGAAAAATTCCAATTCTGATTGTACCAGTAACCGTCTGATTGTATATCCGTCTCATCATTCCCCTGAGTGTTGAGCGTCGGCTAGATCCCCTGGTAACTCCTCGCAGCGCCATTCTTCTCAGACCGTAATGATCTACATGCGCCTCTGCACTGTTCACCCGTTCCCAAAGGGCCATCACAATATCTAACTTGTCATACATATCAATTCACCATCAAGTGGTGCAGAGCCAGCCAGTCTATTCGCCTGCTCATTTCCCAAAACACCGGCAGAACTTGGAGAAAATATGCAAAGGATACTAACTACCCAGGACCTCTGAAGTGATACTTGCCACTCTGAACTAAGCATGTCAGCTATCACCTTTCTCAACACGCTATGTGTGTCAGTTACAATCATGGCATGTGTGTACAGCTGATTCTCAAGCCAGCGGAAGGCAGCAAAAACTGCCTCCACCTCCATTCTCAAACTAGACGTTGTGATATCTCAATATGCCAGGCTTTGCTGCCCTGGACGACGTCCATTCGCCTTTGCTATGAAACCCCACGCACTTCGTCTGCCCCTCAACACAGAGCCACCTGTATAGATAATCACATCACTTGGGATGGAATTGTTATGAATCATTTGTCGAACTTCTGATTCTGCAGCACCAGCTGGCCTGTCTCTGCACTCACAACCTAACGTGGTAAGAACCCTACACAAGTCTGAAACTTGTTCGGGCACCTTGACCCACTCCTCTCCTCGCTCAAAATTATCAAGCCTGATCCAATGACACCATAATGTCTTTAGCTTGCGCCATCCAAGACTTTCCTCTTTTCAGTCTGTGACCCTTAGTTGTACCCAGGGCTTCATCCAGGAGGTGCTTCTTGTCTGCAGCTACTCTGAGATATGACTTTGCTTGCAGAACTTTGAGCCTATCTGCAATAGTAGGCAGTGCAGTTATATATTGCATACATACTACCAGGGTATCTCTGGTACATCCCAGAATACCTGCATGGTTTCATTCTGTATGCGTTTGAGTTTTATCAGCTGACTCTTTGATATGGTAAACATGCCAGGTTCATTATCTATCACCGACAGGATCACATGCTGGAACATTGTGAACAGCATTCTTTGTTCCATGTCCATCGCTGCCATCATCTACCACCGACAGGATCACATGCTGGAACATTGTGAACAGCATTCTTTGTTCCATGTCCATTGCTACCATCATCTACCACCGACAGGATCACATGCTGGAACATTGTGAACAGCATTCTTTGTTCCATGTCCATTGCTGCCATAATCTGGAGAGCATTGAGTCCTTTTTGTCATTTCACCACAATTGCCTCCACGTGATCCCTATAGGACAGGCTTCTATCGAAAGGGATAAAGTAGTGGCTAATTTGTGTGTCCTAATGAACCTAACTAATAAAACTAGAACCTTTGAAGCCATAGTTATGATGAACAAATGTAAAAGAACTTATCGGCACTCATAGAAACAAGTTGCGAAATAAGAAAACACACTAGACAACATAAAAATCTAGAGCTATAGTTACCATACGGGGAATCGAACATGTCACCTTCAAGCACAAGTGTATTAATACTCATGACCACTCGACATCCCTTTGAAAAAAAAAGGTGTCATCATTCTCCCATCAAAATAAAAAATAAAAAAACACGCGACCCCAACGAAATATATGTAAACGTTTTAAAATTTCTAGCAAAATGTTAAACACGACATTGAAGTGTTACATATGGTCACAGTGAAAGCTAGCTAGGCGTTTCTTTCGCAGAATTTCCGAAATTTCTATCAAACTATGAATCTTGACACTCGGCATTGCAATGTTAGGTTTGTTTGCAAACCCCTGACACGGGAATGTTAACAAAACAATAACACGTAACACGTAATTCCCGCCGAATTCACCAAAACTTGAATTCGTCGAATCTTAAGACTAGAAAATTACATCTCTTACCACATGCTCACGTCGAATGTTAACAGGTAACTCCCGCTGAATTTCTAAAAACTGGACATTTCTCACAGTATGCGAATCTTGACACTAGAATGTTACATGTATTGACACATACTCACAGCGAGTACTAATACGTAACTTCCCTGGAATTCCCGAAAACTGGAAATTTCTGGCAAGCTGTGAATCTTGACACTAAAGAGTGTTACATGTATTGTCACGATGAATGTTACACAGCCACTGTTTACCTATCTCTCCTTGCTGACAACTCGGAAAAGGGCTTTCCTTCTACAGCGGAAAGGGTAGAAGATGGTGAGGGGACATTTGGCCAAGAGAGCAGGGAAACCAATCAATACTTGGATACTGGGGCTTCTAGAACCGGGGTCCTCTCGGAAGTTTCGTTTTTGTAAATAGATTCTGACACGAGGAGGAGGTGAGAGATTTCACAGATAGGGTGTTTTCGGTAAGTGTCTTTTCGCCGTTTTCGTATTCTTGAACCCGTCTTTGCAGTGTTTGGGCAAGATTTAAATGAATTGTTTTTATGATAGCAGTGTCAGAGCATGGGCATCGGAACCTCGGGGCCTGCGCCACTTGAAAGGGGCTGAGGAGGGGGGGAGGGCATCCAGGACAATTTATAAATGGGGCTAGCTTATCTCACGACCATGTATTGTATTACTTATCTTTTTTAAAGTCTTCTTCTTATTATTCTTGTTCTTCTTCTTTATCTTCTCCAGGAAAGTCGACCAGCCCAACAAACTTGTGAATGAAAAGTGACCTACTCTATTTGGGGAGACTAACATCGAACCAACCAACCTTGCAGCCCCCCCCCCCCCTCACCTCCTCTCTGGCAATTTTGGCATGGTCATTAACAACCGCTTATATTTTGAAAGAAAAAATTTGAAGATGGCATTATACTGAGCAAGAGAATCGCTAAATAGGCACTGAAATAGAAGCAAATGGATTGAAAAACGAGGAGGGGGACGTCCAAGCGGAACCTTAGAACAGACGTTGTTGAAAAAGACCTGGGTTGGTAGACAGGATTCCAACCGTGATATCGAAAGATTGCATATGGTAGAACGGGGGGAGGGGGGGGGGACTATACTTTAATCCCTTTGTGACGTATAACGGTACAACAAGATTGTGGTGAAGGAATCCCCTTACTGCATATGTTTGACCTGTTCTTTCATATGGGTGAGAATGCCAGGCTGTAAGCTGTTTGGTGATAAAAGTGGAAGGGGGGGGGGGGTGGACACTTTCTTAATATCCTACCCCAAACAGTGGAAATCCACAGGTCACGGGACAGTCTTATATTTTAGGGGTTGGTAGATTGGTTGCGTGCAGTCGTGGGACCTAGGCACTCTCTCGTGGAACCTAGGTGGGTTGGGGTTAGGGTCAGTTCTAGATGCTTTGGGGTCGTTAAAAGCATCAGAAAGCCGGGAAACCCAGTCTTACCACCCTCTAAAATAATGGACTATCCTATGACGTCATCTGAGTGTAAGATATTACACACACACAAAAACCCCAAAAAACTAGATATTTTTGTTTTCAGAAATCAGAAAGAGAAAGAGAACACCTAAAGTATATTTACAACAAGCGAAAATTGCTGACATTTAGAGATTTAAATCACACATTTAAAAATAAGAATTGTCGAACATTATGTATACTCAGCCCTTTTGTATTGTGCACAATAAACAGGCAGCTAGAAAATTGTTTGATTCCTCGATTATGTCGATATACAGGAGAATGTGTCGTATTTCACGAAAACAAAGGCGGATACAGAAGTCCGAAGAGACTAGGAATAAAAAGAGAATTGCTAATGGGAATAAAACAGAGACAAATGAAATATCTCGGCCTTATTAAAAGACATACAATTTATCAACACTATACTGTATGAAAAAGGTAAAGGCAAACGAACAAGAGGCAGACATCGATACAAGTTGAAGGATGACATAAAAAATGGCCGAACAGCAATGTGAAATACCTTACATCCACGGCGAAAGACACAGCGCGTTAGGGGTAGGGTAGGTTGGTAGGTAGTACCCCACCAGGGCACCAAACAATCGATAAACACACGGTGACACATGTGCCACCATGCTGATGAGGATCACCCGTGGAGGGGTCCCGGAAACCCCGTTCAGCCGTTAGGCCATATTTCAGGCCCAGCTATATTCAGGGCACCCGGCAAAAGCCAGGGTGGGGCTTCAAGATAACTAAAAATTGCATCCCACATGGGATGACGATAACTAATGCGCGTTGGAGGGCCATTGCATGCAGCCTTTACTGTGGAGATAGCACCTGATTGGTTGATTTACAGGAGAAAAAAATGAACATTGGAGCATTGACATCTGCCGGGCTATAGTGGCCCTGTGTCTAGAATCTTGCCTGTGGACTAGAAACTCTGGACTTTGAATGCGTCTCTGGTCTATAAATTATAGGTCCAACCCTATGTGCCCAGTACGCCCAAAGGCGTGGAAAAGGGTCCTTAATATGTCTGTACGGTTGAATCGGGTTTCTGAGATTTATACCTGTCTGTTACACTCAGAGAAAAGGTATAATCAAAATGTTACTGGTACCATCAGAATTGGAACTTTTTTGCTTGCTGCTGAAGATGGGGATGGAGCGTTTGTAATTGTGCTGTGATGTCAATTCTCAATGAACATTCTACCTGTCTGATTCTCATCCTTGAGATGTCAGTCTTACAGACTGCATTCGTGAAAAAAATAGGCCTGGCCCCAGGTTGGGGGGGGGGGAGGGCAGGCAGGGGCTGGGGGGCAGGAGGAGTCTCTGAGATACAAATGTGTTTTAAAGTGTGTTCATTGAAATAATCATGCAGTGTGCACTTTCCGCAGCACTTTGGAGAGGCATGATCGCCCACGCCAGTCTACAAGGCACTTGATGATGATGAGGATGATGATCTTTTAGCTGCCTTTTATGTTCTGTTTTGCATTTTCAGCAGCAACAACTTGTAACTGTAGTTTATGTTCTGTTTGTCACTTGCAGGAGCCATTCTTCGAGCCATGTCCCATGGGGAAATCACTGCAGCCGATGTCGGTTTCAAAGGGACGCAACTTAAGTTGACTTTGATGATCGATGGGAAGCAACAAGTTGTCTTTAAGCCGGCCTGGTAAGGAAAAATTTGTGTGAACAGGGCTGTGTTTAACACACCAGATACTCACAAGAGCTGAGAAAGCCTGGCTATTCTTTTCTCTGTCATGTAATCCAGTCTTTGTTGATGAGTCAGGTGTCATCTCCACAAGGATGTTTAGCTGTGGTGGATCTATGCAACGTTGTTGCTCTGTTGTTATGCTGGCTTGGTCTACACTGATGACAACTCTCTGTCTCTTCCCTTATGATGTAGATATGGACACACAGAGGTACAGTCAAAACACAAGGATCATTTTAACACCATTTATTATAGTCTATCAAAAGAATCATTCCGTCATTGTCCTAAACTGTTCCTGGTCGTTTACAGCTTATTCTCAACTGACTGCCCTGACAGGATTACAACCAAACAAACAGTCAATTACCTTTTAGTACAAATAGTTCGTTCACGCGAGGATTTCACATCTAAATCACAACCCCACACAGTTTGCAGTCACTAGGCATTACAATTCAGAATCAGTTCTCATTGGACATTCCTGGCGCTCCAAGTCCTTGTTCCCTCAGCCCACAGTCACCATTTACTTCAGTAACTCCATACTAAACCTTTTGCCCCTCACATAGTCAACCAACAACTGCTGCTATCTCATTCATTTTTCGAAACCCTTGTTCCCTTCCCACGGGATTTGGTCTTGTAACTGTTTAGTGTCACATGTGAATATCACTTCCCTTGCTTTACCTGTTTCTCACTGGCCTGTAATACTGCTACATCCTCTCAGGAAACCCTTCGAACCTCGTTGGAAATTTCCCTCATTACACTCTGTCTCTCGCCCTAAAGCCCTATCCTGCTGTTGCCAGGGGCCCTAAAATAAACCCAATCTATGGGTTGAAAGGGATTTCTTGGACATGTCCCCTGTGATCCTTTTCTTTCCTTTTATCCTTTTAATTTACCCTTTATCCATAGTGAAAAATAGGCCTTCAGTCAACTTGCAGGATAATTAACAATGGAAAGAAGTGACCAGTGGTAAACATCACCATTAACAGAGATATTAGAACAAGTAACAAGTGTCTTCTATCCTAGACATGTAATAACAGATGATGGCAGAAGTGCAACAGAAATAAAGAGAAAGGAGTGGCAAACACTATTTTCAGTAAAATGCTAAAATTAATTACAGCTAGAGAGACATCAGAAGTTATGTATCCTCAGTCTGATGTATGACGCACAAACTTGGACAATTAACAAGCAACTAGAAAATTGAATTGAATCTCTGGAAATGCGGGTATACAAATGAAAAGGTCGCATTTCATGGACACAAAACAACCAGACACAGAGTCTCTGGATAGACTGCAAATTAAAAAGAGGGTGCTTTATTAAAATCCTACCCCAGACATGGGAAATCCACAGGTCACGGGACTCTAATATTGCAGGGGGTGGTAGGTAGGCTGCATGCAGTCGTGGGATGTAGTCTACACTCTCTCATAGGTGGGTTGGGGTTAGGGCCAGTTCTAGATGTTTTGGGATCATTAAAAGCATCCAAAACCCAGGAAACTTAGTCTTACCACCCTCTAAAATGTTGGATTGTCCTGAGTCGTCATCTAGGGCCGAAAAGAGTTACGGAAAATAAATAAAAAGACAAACACTGTGTGCACAAAACAGTTGAATGGGAGTAGACCAGGAGACAGACCAAGAATACAGTAGAGATAAAATACAGACAGGCCTACAAACACTTAGAGACACCAACTGGAGAGAGAAGGCCAATCACATATCACCAGCTGGGGAGAAAAGGCCAATCACATATCACCAGCTGGGGAGAAAAGGCCAATCACAGATCACCAACTGGAGAGAGAAGGCCACTCACAGATCACCAAGTATAGAGAAAAGGCCAATCACATATCACCAGCTGGAGAGAGAGCCCAATCACAGATCACCAACTGGAGAGAGAAGGCCAATCACAGATCACCAAGTATAGAGAAAAGGCCAATCACATATCACCAGCTGGAGAGAGAGCCCAATCACAGATCACCAACTGGAGAGAGAAGGCCAATCACAGATCACCAACAGGAGAGAGAAGGCCACTCACAGATCACCAAGTATAGAGAAAAGGCCAATCACATATCACCAGCTGGAGAGAGAGCCCAATCACAGATCACCAGCTGAAGAGAGAGCCCAATCACAGACGTGAATAGAGGCAGCTGATACCTGCAGCAGTGAACCTCGTGGCTCAGAACTCTGAAGATGATGAATATTGATAGTGATGGTCTACTTAAGATGTACGGTCTGGAGCAGATATTGCCAGTCATGATTATCTTCCTCTTTATCACCCGATATTGTGATGAGACCACTGTTGATATTTGCCATTGCCCAGGTGTTCAAGCTTTCCACATACTTTCTCTGTCTTCTTCTGCCTATCTTGACTAGTATTTCTGTGTGTATCCTTTTCTTGTAACTGTTTCTTCTGAGTTTCTCCAGGTTTCCTTGGATTGTCCTTGTCTCTCCCATCTGCATCCACCAGAGAGCTGTCCCTGAAAAGTGTCACATAGAGTTCTGCAAAAATGTCTAAACCACATCCATCTTTTTTCTTTGATAACATTTGCCAGTGACGAACATTTTATTCGGCTCTCAATTCTTCATTTGTTTCTAGTAATCTCTAGTATTCACCCACAAAAACACATTACTTGTGCCTGATGGTACAGATGGTCTCTGTCTTTCTTTCCAAATGATAGTGTTACATTGTGCTTAGTCAGGTGTGGTGAGTATGACTAGCAAGCCTGGCTGACTTTAGAAAGAATCTTCCACAAAAAGTTCATGAGAGACCAGAATAAAGTTCCTGCTCTCCCGAGCACAAAGCCTGGGCAGTATTATATTACAGACCAGAGCTGTACAGTTGGCCGTTCTGTTGGCCAGATCTGGGTAGAGGAGCCCAAGAAAGCAGCCTGCATATCACTGCTAATTGAATTCTATTAATGACCTTTCTGTGCTGGGGATATCCAGTTTTAACATATGGCTGTGAGTCCTGGACAATCGGTAGGCAGGCTAAACAATTTCTTGAGACCTCAGATGTGATTTTACAAATGAATGCTTAAAATGCCTTGGACAGCCAAAAAAAAACAATCAAGAGGTTTTGAAAGAGGCGGGAGCCTGAAGATAGCTTATCACAGACATCAGAAGGAGACAGACATCATTTTTGGCCATGTTATGAGACAAGGTAAAATGGAAGATGTTGTGACCACTGGAAAGATTTGTGGAAGGCGGGATAGAGGAAGTCAATGAGAGAAGATTCTTGACAGTCTTGTTGCATGGCATGGAGGTGTGTCAGTTTACAAACTAATACATGCTGCAGAAGATTGCACATTGTGGAGAGGCATGATCGTCCACAACAGTAGGCAAGGAACCTGATAATGATGATGCTGGAGCTCTGTCCAGTGACGATCCGTATTTTCCACACTTTGACCCTTGAATAAACTCCGTTAAACCTCCCTGATGTAGACCATGTATTGCCTATTCAGCATGATCATTCTGTCAACATTATTTTACTCTTCTTCTTTTTGGCATTCACCAGCTGTAAACTCTGTCAGAAATTTCTGGTTGTACATCCACCTCTGGATTTTGTCTTTATCCAGAACCTGAGTATTGTGTGTAAATCTGTTTTACAGATCTGACTTATTTGTATGCAGATTGTTGGTTCTTTACCTCTCATGCAGATGCACTCTAACTTTGAAGGAAGCTGCAGTTAGTGGACTCCTACAACATGCTTGTTGGGGACGCAGTGGATCTAATCTTATCCTCCCCAAAATGGGGCCACGGAACCCACACAGAGAACGTTATGGTACATACATATCTCTTCTAACTTGAGGATCGCCAGCAGTACATAGTCTTTTTTCTTTGTATTTCTTTCTAGGTACCCCAGGGACTACGTGGTCACAGGGCCACCCTATGCAGGGAGAGACAGACATAATGCAGAAATTGCTGCTTTTCATCTGGGAAGGTATGTGGTGCTACGTTTATATGTTTGGTGTATGATGTTGTGAGGGCCCTATGGGAGCGAGTAAACAGTGCCTAGGCACAGATAGGTCATTACGGTCTGAGGAGAATGGTACTGCAAGGAGTTACAAGGGGATCTGGCCGACACTTGACACTCAGGGGAAAGGTGACAGATATACAGTCAGACAGTTACTGGTACCATTGGAATTTTAACTCTTCGATTGCTGCTGAAGAAGGGGGACAGAGCGCTTATGAGGGTGTCCCAAGTGCTTTGATGTCGATTTGTTTGGTGTATTTGTGAAATTTCTTAAGAATAGGTCAACTATAGCCACTTGCCCCAATTAAGAAGGAAATACTGGCCTGCTGAGAGCACAATACTCAGAGTTGCATGAAAACTAAAAGGGAAGTCCTAAAAAACAGTCAGTTTGATCACAAGAACTTGTCTGTCAGTGTAAATCAGAGAGCAATGACCCAAAAAAGGAAGAAGAAAAAGAAGCCAACTGGGATTGGAATAAATCACTCATTACCTGGGAACTGAATCCAATGACTGTGCTGAGAAAAAAGTGGACTATTGTTAAGGCTAGAACCTCTTAATGTTTTCATATCTGTGATTGAAGCATGACCCAACTTGATGAGACGAAATCTTCTACAGCCCTCTCCTGTAATGAAGTCATGAGGTACTAAGATACTTACTGTAAAATAATTATAGTTAAAAAATATGACTGCAGCCACAAGTTTTTACATCCTATGTTTCAAGAAGCCCTTATTTAGCATTTGCATTATATTTGTTATCACAAACATCAGAAAGAAACAGTCATAATTTTTTTTTGTCATTTTATGAGAAGAGGGAAAATGGAACATGTTGTGACCACTGGAAAGCTTTGTGGAAAGAGAGACAGAGGAAGACAGCACAAGAAGATTCTTGACAGTCTTCTGTCATGGCATGGAGGGGTGTCAACACATAAACTGATACACGCAGTTGCGGATCGCAGATTGTGGAGAGGCATGATCACTCACAACACTCAGCAAGGCACTTGATGATGATTATGAGATGTACATTTTTCTTTTATAAAGAAGAAGACTATATCTGCTACCCATTAAAGTCTGGGTCCTCCTGGGGGCCACAGTAATTGTTCAAGCAAGTCTGGCTCCGTCAGGACCGTGACCCACGACCTTCTGATCTGCAGGCAAGCATTTAGCCGTTACATAATGGCCGCTCCCTTGCAATGTCATAGTGTATATCAGTATTTGTCTGTGGAGTCTGTGCAGTTGTTGTTTAAATGGCCAGAATTAATCAGCTTCAAAAGCTGTGAAAGTGGCAACATGTGTAAATGCCAAGATACCAATTAGTGCTTGTAGAGCAGCACAGGAAAAGAATTAGCAGAGCAGAAGTACTCATGATTTATTATCAAAATTTGCACTGTTTCAGATTACTAGAACTGCGCCGAACTCCATTGACTATTGGCCGCAGGGTGGATATAGACAAAGAAATTATACGGGTGGCTTCACAGAAGTTACTGTCCACTTTTTATGAGAGAGGTAGGCCTTTGGCTGTTTTTTTTTTTTTTTGGGGGGGGGGGGGGGGTGATGTCTAATTGTTGACTTGTTTATGAGAGAGGTTGGATGCTTGTGGTTGTTTTCATGTCTTACGTGTTAGTTCTTTAATAAAGTAGACTACATATTAATGTGTGTGTGGTTGTTTTCATGTCTTACGTGTTAGTTCTTTAATAAAGTAGACTACATATTAATGTGTGTGTGGTTGTTTTCATGTCTTACGTGTTAGTTCTTTAATAAAGTAGACTACATATTAATGTGTGTGTGGTTGTTTTCATGTCTTACGTGTTAGTTCTTTAATAAAGTAGACTACATATTAATGTGTGTGTGGTTGTTTTCATGTCTTACGTGTTAGTTCTTTAATAAAGTAGACTACATATTAATGTGTGTGTGGTTTTTTTTTAAAGTTGGTTTGTCTTCTACACCTGACATAAATTTTGGACTTCTGGGCAGAATGGAGGGTAGGCAGTTTACTGTTTTTACTCATGGCAAATATTTGCTTCTGAGTTGCATTTTCCTCCATTTGTGGATTGAAAGAAAATAGTTTTGTCACCCAGCGACTGCATTGAGTACATGGCGTGACACTGTGAATTGTGTATTTTATTTGGAATGTTTTTCGACTGTGACTAACATGGCGTTGTGACTGTAGACTCAGAAAACAGCGCGTGGCCTGTTGCAGCAGAAGTGCTGGTGCCTTATATGGCTAAAATTAATCATGTGTGCAGCTGCTGATCTGTTTGTAACTGCTGCTTCTGATGATGATGAACTGCATTTGTAATGTCAGACTGTTTGTGTTAACACTTCTAATAGCTGCCTTTTGTTGCTAATGCTTGTGTATGTTAGTGAATATGCTGAGACTGCAGTATGTCAATTTTTCCACAAGGAACAATGATGGACATTCTGTGTGTTTTTTGTTGGCACCGGAGCAGAGCAACTATGGAGTGACCCGTCTGCTATGAAGCTGAAACTAAGATTACATAAATGTTGGTTCTGTAACAGAGACACAACAGTAGATTTTAAGTTCGTTGCCTTATCAGCCTTGGTTAACATATTGGAAGTTTGTTATGTTACACTTTTGTTGTGTTACACTGTAACACAATCATACTGGTGTTGATTTTCTGATAGCCACCTTGTATACCTGAAGTATTCTGTAACAATGTAGATTTTCAGTTGCTTGCTTTCTACATCTATAGTTTTTGTTATGTAACAGAGATATAGTAGATTTTTGGTTGTTACCTTGTATTTTGGAAGTATTGATTCTTCTTCTTAATAATGTTCACAGCTATAAGTTATGGCAGAAAATTCTGGTTGTTCATCCACTTCTGGACTTTGGTGATCTTGTTCCAGAACTTGAGTTTTGCGTGCACGTCCATTCTACAGATCTTGGTTTTTTAATGTCAATTGTTGGTTCCTTGTCTCTCAGGTAGAGACATTCCAACTTCAAAGGAAACACCCCTGATTAGTTGCTTTGTATGACATGCTTGTTAGCTCGGCAGTGGCTTTATTCTTTTTCCTCCCAGAATGGTTGAGAACTGGAAAACAAATTTGAAAGAAATAATACAGACACAAGTAAAAGGTGTCAACCATAGTGAAGAACATATCATGCTTCTAAAAAGCATACTGAAGAAAAATGTTGAAGGTAGACGGCGATACAAGTGTGAGGATAACATCAAATGGTGGACAGTCATCAGACTCAAAAAGTGTACAGTCAGGGAGACTGAACATATTAGAAACCCACTGTGGTCAACCTTCCTTGTGGAGATGGCATCTGATTGATTGGCTCTTTCTTTTGAATTCCAGGCTTCATGCCATGTGCTTTCTTACATTGTGTGCATGGTTAGACATACTAGAGAAATCTGGCTTATTTAAAAGTAATTTACTGATATCCCCATTGGTCACTGATTGAAACAGTGTGGAACTGAAAGATCTTACATATTTTAATTTATAGTAATAAATTTTGATCTGAAGGATCTACATATTTTGTTTTATAGTGATAGGTATGAAACTGAAAGATCTTACACATTTTGTTTTATAGTAATGGGTATAATAACTGAAATAAGTGATCTGGAAAAGATGAACTAAGTTATCTATATTAAAAGACCTTTGCATATTCCTGTAAGAATGACAAAGTATTGCTTTCAAGAATAATTGTTTCATCTTCTTTATTCACCCTTATAAGTTATGTTGGCTGTGATATCTGCATGTTTCAGCTCAGCACATTCAATTTCAGCCAACCTTTAGTGACCTTTTGAGATAGGTTTGTGGTTTGAACTATAGATCAAAATCATGGTGCACAGGTAGGAACCCATAAGTGCTCCATTCTTCTTCTAACTCAAGTCTGAGTCTGAAAAAGCTCAGCACAGTGCACAGGCTCTGTAGCACCAGCGAGAATCCTGAAATACTTTGGGTAGATTTGTAACTCCAAATTTTGACCGGGCAGCGCCGTTAGGCTACTCTTTTCGATTTCCAACTGCCAAAGGATTTGTTAAATGCGCAACAATGCGTCTGATCTCACTACCCAGAGACCAGAGAGAATTACTAAAAGTCAAAGTCCACGGTAAAAAATTCCAGACCTTATTGGGGATTGAGCTCAGAACCTCTAGCACTCGAGGCGGACACCGTGCATCGAGACCACGCAGCCCCCGCCTTTTGAGATAATGCATCTTAAGGAGCATTGGGTCCATTCGTTTTTGGTCCCCAAACATGGGGCCCTAGAACCCCACAGGGGGAAGGTTAAGAGTTAAAGCAGAGAATCGGTTCCATTTCTTCAGGTTTTGAATTTGCATGGCTCAGTTTCTTTGCAAATAGCTATCCATCAGTCAAGAGTGCACACCAGACTTAGACTCTGTAGTTCCAGTGACACTGCCCAGGATTCTGTAAACAAAATTGCACTAATTGAAAGTGAAGCCAAAAATAAAATTATTACCTTCAGATTACAAGCCAATTGCTTTGATTACTGTGCCTCCAAAAATTAGAGGAAAGTATTGGATGCAAGATGAACAAATAAACTGTATGAAAACCTTGCATGTTATTTCAAGAAGGACATAGTATAGAATAGACTTAACAGTTAGTTATATGTGGGTTCCGGGGTCCCATTGTAGGGTAAACAAGTATAGACCCACTGCCCCCCCAACATGTATTGTTGTAGGAGTCCACTAGTTAGAAGATTTCTTCAAAATCAGGGTGCATCTGCCCGAGCAGCAAGGAACAACCAGCAGCTGCACACAAATAAGCCAGTAAAATGGCTGTACACACAAAACTCAGTCCTGGCACAAAGCCAAAGTCCACATGAACAGACAACTAGAACTTTTCTTTGTTGCTTATAGCCGGTGTACAGAGAAGCAAAAGAAGGACAGAGTATAGGATCAACTTAACAGTTAGTTATATGTACTCCCCTTGTGGGTTCCGGGGTCCCATTTCTTGTTTTTATTTTAAATAGACCCACTGCCTTCTAACAAAAGGGGACTAATTAGGAGTGTGCTGAAATCAGATGTATTGGGCCAAAAGGCCTAGCTGTAAACCACAACACATTGTGCCAGCTGCATGAGTGAAAGAAAGAAAAATAATTTGCAGTATGTTTCTGGCTACACTTGCTATAAATCTTTAATCACCTTATATTTTTACTTGTCACCTAGAGGGAGAAAGCTGTTTTTATGGGCGGTGCCTCTACTGTAAAGGTCCCGAGGATGGTGTGTGTGCGACCAGTGGGGTCCTGGAAGGAACATTAGTTCTCTGGCTGCCTCATAGTTTTAAAATGACCCTACATAAGCATCCATGGTCTCGGACCTACAGGGATAATGTCAGAGCAAAGTAAGTCTTGAGCACAAGTATTGTTAACTATTAGTATAGTTTTTGTTTGTTTTGTGTTTGGTTTCCATTTGTATGTAAACATCTTTACAGTGGGCAGAGAAAAACAGTATGTCACATACAACACTTGGGTAAACTAAATATAAAGTGAAGGTTCCTTTACCACATCTTGTAGTGAAGCATGCTGGCTTCTGGCCTAAAATGGAGGATTAGGCATGGCAGAATGTTAAGCTTCTAAGTTATTTTTGTTTCCTACAGTGCTTTGTTAATGCAGTTTTTAGACATGGACGGTGATCTACGGTTTCGCTGCCTGAGCTACTCAGTTTAGGGCTTGGTGCAGCCCTGTGAGCTGTGTTTTTTCTGTGGAATGCCTTTCATTTGTGCAGCAGTTATGTCGTGATATTCAGTATGGCCGGTAGCCGGTTTACATGTGAGATGGTGAAATACCTTATGTAATAATTCTACCTGTGTATAGTCAACTTATCAAGCCCAACTACTTTTATCAACAGACTGCATTTCTGGTGGTGACTGTTGGCTTTGGTACCTCTAGCAACTGAAATATGCATATATACTGTGTGCACATATTTCTGGATTGTTCCCAGACTAATTGTTTTTTTTTCCAGTTTTTCAAATTTGACAGCAAGGGACATTTTATTTGATTTTCACTAGCATTGGAACGGAGCAAGTCTGGGGAAACCCGACTGCAGTAAAGTTTAAACCTTGACTAAGACTAAGAGTATGAGTAAGACTAAGACTAAGACTATAACTAAGACTATCTTGAAGTGACTTGAGCTTACTGTGTTAGCCAATATATTTATAGGGAGCAGCAGTAGTATAGTGGACTCAAATTACTAGAGTTCGAATTCGCATCGAGGTGTGCTATATGCATGATGTGCATAAGGTGTAGAAAGGATCCCTTACTTTTCTTTTAATTATGCTTACAGCCTAATTGCCACTCAGTGTAATACTGTAAAAGATATCATGCCAGACGCATTTACGTACTTTCCAGATCATTTTCTTGTACTGCTTTCAGGCTTGGTGAACATGAATACCTAGGTCAGTGTGTGTGTGTTTATTTTCTTTTTTTTTTTAATCAATACCTTGTGCTCACATTCAGTGGGCTGTCCACCACAAGCATGATGTCCAGCGCTGTCATGGTTTACATTTGTAATAAATCTTGGTCTACTTGAACTGCGCCTTGGCTTACTACTTATTGGCTTTAGCCACGGCTCACTCTCTGGATGTTACTGCTACACAACTTGCACTACTTTAACGTCTAGAGTTGACAGCACAAACGCCGCTCAGCTTCTTGGTACATTCTGTCAGTTTATTCTCGTCCATTTATTTCACATGTTCAAACATTATTTACACTTTATCACTCGCGACATATTCAACACTAACCATTTGCGCAACATAAAGACGACATCTTCAAATACTACAACCGTCTTCTCTGACTTCTGATGATCGACTGACCACGAGGCTAGCTCGGGCTTTCCCTCGCTTCCTCGACTAGGCACAAGTATCTCGTGCTGTCCCTTGTTGCACGGACTTTCTGCTTGCCACTATGTAATCGTGAGGACCATGCAAAGCAGGGTCATTACATCCTCCCGCCTTTTAACAAAATGATACTTTATGGAACATCAAGTATCATTTTCCATTCAACTTTTAAATGAATCAATAGCACTAAAATCTAACTTCGCTATTCGGGATTAGTGTTCATAATTAGCCCAAATTACTGCCCTTATTTTAATGTTCTACTGTATGCTTTTTCTAGTACTAAACTGGTGAAGGGTATCTATCTTTGCACGTATTGCAACTGTAGTATAGCTTCATCACTATATCTATTCTATCAGGTTCAAGTGAAATGATCATTGTGATGATGGTGATGATCATGGTCAACTTTGAGATATTTACTACAGGAATAATAAATCAATTTAAATGTATTACTGCTAGGAATTATGGTTTCTGATTATCCTTAATTACTGCCCTTTAAAACTGCTTTCAGTATTTACTGCATGCTTTCCCTGTACTGAGCTGGTGAAGAGTTTATACCATCTTTACACCTATTGCATCTGTAGTATTGTTTAGTCACTATATCTAATCTATCAGGTTCAAAGTGAAATGATGATAGTGATGATGATTGTCAGCTTTGAGATATTTGCTACATAGAAAATTGGATTTAACCAATATTTCTACATCACCTTTCACAGGGTGTTAAACCCCAAGGACTCTTAGCCGATATGATAGTGATGAGATGATTGTCAGCTTTGAGATATTTGCTACATAGAAAATTGGATTTAACCAATATTTCTACATCACCTTTCACAGGGTGTTAAACCCCAAGGACTCTTAGCCGATATGATAGTGATGAGATGATTGTCAGCTTTGAGATATTTGCTACATAGAAAATTGGATTTAACCAATATTTCTACATCACCTTTCACAGGGTGTTAAACCCCAAGGACTCTTAGCCGATATGATAGTGGTAAGATATATTTAACATAGTGCTTCTAGTTTCCCAAAAGCTCTATAACACCTTTTACAGGGTAATTACCCAACCCCAAGGAATCTACCACAGAAAAAAAAAAATGCATGTTGAGATATTTTTTTCATAGACCAAAGTCTCACCTTTCACAGAGTAATTACCCAACTCCAAGGAATCTAACATGAAAACAATGATAGCTGAGATATATTTTTCATAGATCTTAAAGTTTCCTCCAGGTCTATAACCACCTTTAACAGAGTATTCAACTCCAAGGAATCTCAGATGAAATGATGACTATTGGGATGATTTTTAATAGAGTTTAGGGTTTCCCCACCAGTCTCTACATCACCTTTAACAGAGTATTCCACTCCAAGGAATCCCACAACCTTTTCCCCCTTTAAATGGATACAGATGAGTTCAACTCCTCTACTGTGCTTGTGCTTTGATGTGTGCATTTTTTCTTTACCATCAGTATGTCTATTCAGCATCAGTATAACTATAGATGGTTCTTAATCTTGGATGTGGTGGACAACTTTAGCATGTCCCTGTGCTGTGTACCTATGCCAAAACATTTCAAATTGAATTTATGTAAATCATTCTGTGGAAAAAGATTTCTATATGATCTATTGCTAAATCTTTAATTCGGTTGTGCTGTTCCTGGGGAGAGATTTTTTTTTTTTTTTTTTCTTAACTTTTGAACTAATGTCATTACATGAATCCTAAAATAATCCTAATGAACTACTAACCTAAGTAAATATGTACACTATTAAAATACTACCCACAAATCTTTCATTCATCATTCATACCTGTTTTATTCTCTTTCATTCCCATTCATTCCATTAACTATCCTTGATCTTGATCCATCCCTGCAGGCTGTGTGTGTCTTGCTTGTACTCTGGCGCTTGCTTTCAAGGTTCTCATTCCTTGGTTCCCTCGACAGTCTGTTCTGCTCTTGGGTCTTTCATGGTAGGATAGCTGGTAATCTTGGAAATCTACTGACTAAAAATATTATAATTTTATAAGTTAACACAATACTATTAACAGTGTTCAGTGACTGCATACACTGATATGCCACCTTTAAAATAATAATTAAACGGAAGGTGTTTAATACACACAGTTTGTGGCTGATTTTTATAAATGACATCAGGTGTCTATGCACTTTTGTAAAATACTTTATCATTAATTTAATATTTACACAAACACTTTAGGTATGTAAGATAATCTACCTTTCACAGTAGCTATCACAATTGTGTAAACACGATGTAATACTGACGTTTTTGTTGTTCTTGATTGAGCTTAAACAGTTGGAATGCTTCATTATTCTCGCATTCTTTATTTTATGATACGTTTGGTATTCGATGATCTTGATATTGTATAGATGCTCTTGAAGTGTCGCTTAGAATTTGACGATTTGAAATGTTTCAATGTTGATTTTGAGGTATTTGGAGAAAATAATTTGGTGCTCCTTGATGGTGATCTTGAAATTTGGATCATTCAGTGGCTGATATGTTTCTGTTCATTCCCTGTACAGTACTGGTTGGTGATTTATGATTTTGATTGAAATTTGATAATCTTGAAGATGAAGAATGATAAACTGTCAATTCTTGATGATTGTTTTTTCCTCCAGTCGCATACTGCACAATCTTGAGTAGGTAACGTAAGAGCTTCTGAATCCATTCTTTTTTGCTTAGTTTTTGCATAACAGGATCTTTTCTTGTCTTTTAACATCTGTTTCCCAACACAGTGTTTTACAATATGTCCGAATGCTGAACAAAAATGGCATTTTTTAGGGTTGTTGTTTTGTTTATTTTGCCACTTTTTATTGACCAAGTCTTCAATATAGCTTGAATATTTAGGATCTCTATCGCAGATAGTTGAAGAACTGTGCTGGTACTTACAAAAATTACACATCTTGATCTTCTGGTTGCTTATCGATGTATCTTTTATTGTTGTCGCTGAAGATACTTGCGACAAAGTGTTCTTATGTTTTACCAACCTTTTAGATGCCATTCTGATAAAGGCACAATCGATGCAAAAAATGTCACGGTAGTAAGAAAACTGATCGTAACTGTAAATAAAATTAGTTCATAGTCCGCTAGTTTCCGCGAAACAATAATGGTCACAAACCTGATTTAATTCATAAACTAGATTTAACATATTTCTGATGTGTAGCACTGGTGAACATGAAACTTCTTGAATCCACAAACCTTGGTAATATGATGTGTGGTGGCAGACAGGACGTTGATGACACACAACTATGTTCGCGTGTGTTCCATGGTACGATGTTTTTCATTGGTTGGCAGCTGACCTGTCGCAGCTTGCTGTGTTTAAAGGCTCTGCTCGGGTTAAAGCGATGTATCGTACACTGTTTTCCGCATGTTTGTCTTACCTTAGAAGAAACAAAAATGTTTTCCTAATGATTGTGGTCCGTGTGGTTCTCAAATTTTCTTCGGACGGGCCTCCATTTGTAATAAACCTTGGCTTGACTTGGACTGCGCCTTGGCTTACTACTTATTGGCTTTAGCCACGGCTCACTCTCTGGATGTTACTGCTACACAACTTGCACTACTTTAACGTCTAGAGTTGACAGCACAAACGCCGCTCAGCTTCTTGGTACATTCTGTCAGTTTATTCTCGTCCATTTATTTCACATGTTCAAACATTATTTACACTTTATCACTCGCGACATATTCAACACTAACCATTTGCGCAACATAAAGACGACATCTTCAAATACTACAACCGTCTTCTCTGACTTCTGATGATCGACTGACCACGAGGCTAGCTCGGGCTTTCCCTCGCTTCCTCGACTAGGCACAAGTATCTCGTGCTGTCCCTTGTTGCACGGACTTTCTGCTTGCCACTATGTAATCGTGAGGACCATGCAAAGCATGTATGGGTTCTAGGGCCCAATTTTTTATGCAGAAAGACCCACTGACCCCCTAACAAGCATGTCATAGGAGGCAACTAAGTATGGGTGTATCCTATGAAGTTTCATTGTATCTGCGTTTCAGGCGAGCAATCAGCAGTCTGCATACAAATAAGCCTGATCTATAAAAATGAATATGCAAGCAAAATTAAAGTTCAGGAACAAGTCCAGTGTCCAGATGTGGAACGAATGATTGAACCTACTTTGGTTTCAAAGGGTCACAAATTGGGCACGCAGATCCATCCTAAATTCGGCGTTTGCAAACAACCATCTTTCTCACAACAGATAATATAATACATTTCTGTAAATTACTACTCTTACATTAAAGTTAATCTTGATTGTTTTGTAAATTTAAATACAATATTATGTGTTATTAACTTTTAATGGATTTTATTTTCATTTTCATCCCAAACCTGCGGCGCACACTTTGGGAATCACTAACATAGGACTTGCAGACTGGTTCTTCATTCCATTCTATGCAATTTTTTTTTCAGTATCATGGATTGAATGCAGTCCTGCACCTTTAGCTTCTCTCAGCGACGTTTGTCTTAGGGTTTTTCTTGGATGTCATTATTTCCTCAGTCCATTTTTGTCCCATTTCAGTGCCTTTTTTTAATTCTCTGTCCACCTTTTCTCATGATAAGCCAAATGTATTGGCATCTTTTTCTTATGGCTCTCCAAACTGGCAGTTGCATAAAAATTCATTGTTAATTTGCACATCTCTTCTTCTTCTTCTTTGCGTTCGGTTTCGTATGCTCAGATCAGACCATCAGGTGGGTTGCCTCTATGAACTCGCATGTCAGCTGCAGGGTCCTGCATGGTTCCCGATAGCTTGCTCTGTACACTCTGCTCTTGAGGCCAGGTGTCTTTTCGAAGTTGATTTGCACATCTGACAGCTGCCTTGTGCATTTTTACTTTGCCTGTGCAAGCTTTAAAATTTTGCAGGGACTGACAGGTTTTCACTAGTTTTTCAAATAGGCCAGCGAAGGACATGTGATGCAATTTCCACTGGTACCAGAACAGAGCAGTTATGGGGTGATTCGTCTTCAGTGATATTGGAACCTTGACTGACGACTGATTGTTAATTTGCTATAGATGGGAGACTGACACAATGTACTGTGACACCGTCAAGTCCAACTTCAAGTCTGGCCCCAGGTTGCTGGACATCATAGACACCTGTGTTTTTGATTACCTCATCGGAAACGCTGACCGTCATCACTATGAGACCTTTCAGGGCTATGATGACAGTATGCTGATTATGTTGGACAATGGTAAGAGGTAAGTGACAGTATTTGCTGATTGTGTTAGTAGATCAAGGTAAGTGACTGTATTGCTGATTGTGTTAGATCAAGGTAAGTGACTGTATTGCTGATTGTGTTAGTAGATCAAGGTAAGTGACTGTATTGCTGATTGTGTTAGTAGATCAAGGTAAGTGACAGTATTGATGATTATGTTGGATAATGGAAAGAGGTAAGTGACAGTATTTGCTGATTGTGTTAGATCAAGGTAAGTGACTGTATTGCTGATTGTGTTAGATCAAGGTAAGTGACTGTATTGCTGATTGTGTTAGTAGATCAAGGTAAGTGACTGTATTGCTGATTGTGTTAGTAGATCAAGGTAAGTGACTGTATTGCTGATTGTGTTAGTAGATCAAGGTAAGTGACTGTATTGCTGATTGTGTTAGTAGATCAAGGTAAGTGACTGTATTGCTGATTGTGTTAGTAGATCAAGGTAAGTGACTGTATTGCTGATTGTGTTAGTAGATCAAGGTAAGTGACAGTATTGATGATTATGTTGGATAATGGTAAGAGGTAAGTGACAGTATTTGCTGATTGTATTAGATCAAGGTAAGTGACTGTGTGCTGATTATGTTGGATAATGGTAAAAGGTAAGTGATAGTAATTGCTGATTGTGTTAGATCAAGGTAAGTGACAGTATTTGCTGATTGAGTTACATCAAGGTAAGATCTAAGTGACAGTATGCTGATTATGTTGAATAATGGAAAGAGGTAAGTGACAGTATTTGCTGACTGTTTTAGGTCAGGGTAAGATCTAAACGACAGTACACTAATTATGTGATTACATGACCTGGAAATGAAGCCTTGCTAAGGATATCTAGGTGATCTTCCAGATAAGGGTAACAAACATAATTACCATTTTCTCATGGGAAATACAAGAGCTGCTGCATCAGAGGATTGATCTTACATGGGATTGCCCTTTATGCAGTGATGTCATTTGTGGTCAGATAACTGGCACATTTATGATAGTTCAAGAAAGGCATGTATATACTTTAAACACGTGGTAAATAAGCATTGTACCTTCAACATTATCACAAGCTGAACAGGTGGGTTTTTTTAATGCAGACTGTTGGTTCCTTGTCTGTCAGCCAGATGCACTTAAGTTTCAAAGGAAACCCCTAATTAGTTGACTCATATAACATGCTTGTTAGGAAGTCGGTGGGTCTCTACTTGTTTTCCCCATAATAGGGGAAGTCCTGGAACAAGACTAAAGTGCAGAAGTGGATGAACAACCAGACTTTCTGCCAGAGTTTACCGCCAGTGAATATGAAGAAAAAGAAATTAAATTCATAATTAGAAACTGTTGCATAGAATAAATTGTTTGTAGCTACAAACTATTTGTCTTTGTCATTTCACAGTTTTGGAAACCCGAGTGTAGATGAAATTACCATTTTGGCTCCTCTTTACCAGTGTTGTCAGTAAGTAATTGATTTTATGCTCATTTCTGAAAGTGATGATGAAGGTTGGATGGTCAGTTGGTGATTGTGTTTGGTGGGTGGGTGAGTAGTTAAAAATTGGATGGGTGGATCGGAAAGGTCAGTAGTTTTTTTTTTTTTTAGTTAATGGTGATTTAGGTTTAGTTGACAGATCACCATCATGGCACAAGGGTAGTAACCCATAAGTGCTCCGTTCTACTTCTGATTGAAGCCCAAGTCTGAAGAATTTCAGTACAGGGCACAAACTCCATAGCACCGGTGAGGATCCTGAAATACTTGAGATAGATTTTGAACTCCAAAGTTTGCCTGGGCAGCGCTGTTAGGCTAATATTTTTCAATTTCCAATTGCTGAGGGATTTTTTACTAGGGAAAATTACTAGAAGTCCTCGTTAAAAAATTCCAGCCTTAACCAGGGCTTAAACCCGGGACCTCCAGCATGTGAGGTGGAAGCCATGCCTCAATCAAGACCACGCAGCCCCCAGTGGTGGTTAGTTTTGATGGGTAGGTTATAATGAATTGGTGGTTAGTTTAGATGAGTGGGTGATTGGTGAGTCTGTGCATGGGTTGGTGGATGAATGGTTAGTTTGGATGTTTAGATGGTTGGTAAGTGAATGGTTAATTTAGATGTGTAGGTGGTTGGTGGGATGGTGGTCAGCATTACGCCAGCCACCTTTACTTCCCAGGACTGCACCTGATACCATGTCATGGCTGGATTGACCTGATGTCAGCTCTTAATTCATCACAAATCAGTACCATGTCTCTTTGTGGCTGGGTCATCATAATCATCATCATGTAGCAGCCATGACACATGTGGATTGGCAGCTTTGACAACAGATCACATCCTCCAAGACTGTCCCACATACAATAAATCAAGGCAAAACCTCTAGCTAAAAGGAACACCGGTGGAAGTCAAACTTTAGGGCAGGGAATTACAAAGACAGTGAAGTTCCTACTAGAGAAAACATTGTAGATATAGATAATCTGTTTCAGTCAAACCAAAAAATATATAAGAAGAATTATGTAGCAGGCCATTTGCAGAGCATAGCTCTTATCATGGTCTGCCTAAAAGAAACTCTCACCAGCTCTCCCACCTCCTGCACTTTCCCACCCAAGGTGTCACTTATATCCTGTGCCCATCATCATGCTGGTCAGCCCCTGCCCCTCTTTACTGGTAGCATGCCTTCTGCTATTTTTTTCTTCTTCTAATCCGCTATGGCACTTGTCATAGCCAAAATATTTCAGTTTCTGAGACAAGATGTTGTTTACTAGCCAACCTTCCTTGATGTTCAGATCTTGTAGTATGTATTTTTTTTGTCTTTTTTTTTGTGTGTCCATGGTATCCTGAGAATCTTTGTAAAGCATTTCAGCTGAAAAGCCCTTATTTTTTTCCTTAATGACTGTGAAATAGTCCACGACTCACATCCGTATGTTGCTACAGGGAAAGTGCATGTTCCCAAAATGTTGACTTTGATTTCCTTGCTGGTGCTTAACCATATATTTTTAATGCTGTTAACCTTTGCTTTGCTGTGGCCATCCTCCTTTTGATTTCTGTTAGTCTCCATTGCTGTCTATTATAGAGCCTAGATTTGAAAAGTATGGGACATTTTCAATTTCTTTACCATTGATTGTTATTTTTGAATATTATTTTCTTCCCTTTAAATTCCCAAACAGGTTTTGATCTTCACTGTGTTTTTGACAGACATGGTTAGATGTTCGATTCCATGTACACTATTTGAAAAGAGGACTGTGTCATCTGTCTAGCAAAGTTCTGGAACAGGGTTGCTGCCAATCATGAGCAAATCATAACTTATAAATCTGGTCACATTTGACATTTCTCCTAATGCTGTCTTCAAAATATATTGAATAGATGTGGTGAGAGAATGCACCCCTGCTTTACTCCTTTTTGTACCTTGAACCAGTTTGTTGTTTCTCCAGCTACTCTGATGGCTGCTTGTTGTTCATGATATAAACTTTCAATTTAATGTAGCAAATTTGCTATGCCACATATTTATAAAATATCACATATTTATCACTAAAATCCCTTAAAATCCTTAAAACAGGATTCGATCCTCGCTGTGGCAAAGACTACTTGCTCTTCAAGATGGCGTCCTCAGTGGAGTCTTGGCGGGAATCCTATCCACTGATCCCATTTCTCCAATCCTAACAGATGCCCATTTCAAAGCCCTGGACAGGCGGCTGAAGACTGTTCTGGAGGAAGTTCAGAAGTGCATTTCTCAAGTGGGGATTCATGCTATTGTTGCAGACACAGTATCCCCATCAAGATAATGAAAGTGTTTCATAGAATGTTGATAGTTGAGAGTGGTTTTTTAAATGTTGATATTTGAGAGTGGTCCATAGAATGTTGATATCTGAGAGTGGTTTCGTAGAATGTTGATATTAGAGAATGGTGCATAGAATGTTGCTGTGTGAAAGTGTTTTCATAAAGTGTTGATATTTGATAATGGTTTATGGAATGTTGATATCTGAGAGTTGTTCCTAGAATGTTGATATTTGAGAGCGGTTTCTAGAAAGATGATATCTGAGAGTATTTTGTATAATGGTGATATTTAAGAGTGGTTCCTAGAAAGTTGATATTTAAGAGTGGTTCGTGAAAATGTTGATATTTGAGATTGGCTCATAGAGTGTTGATATTTAAGAGTGGTTCTTAAAATGTTGATATCTGAGAGCGGTTCATGGAATGTTGATATTTGAGAGTCATTCATAAAATGTGTTTTTTAGAGTGGCTTACAAAAAGTTGATTATTTGATAGAATGTTGATATTTGAGAGTGGTTTGTGGAATGTGGACACTTGAGAATGATGCATAGAATGTTGATATTTAAAAGGGATACATAGAATGTTGATACTCAATAGGGTACATGTGTTGTTTATTTAGACTACCATTATAAATGGCTTTTTTTTTCCCATGTTGAAATCATCCACTTTTGTAACTATGTCTTTCCCCTGGTCTTCTTTAAGTGCCAGACGATGCCCTAAAATGTAAATTATGTGCCAAAGAATGAATGAATGAAAAGTTAACATCACTGCACTCAGGACAGTCTCACAGGGGCTGCATCACCCTCCCTCAGTAGCTGAGAAAGAGTTCACATATTGATGGTGTCAGCAGCAAACTGATTGAGAAGTCTTGTCTGTCTTATCTTCTACTTGTTGAAGATCATCCAGGCCCTCTGCTCACTCCCAGCTGGATCAGTCTCTCCAGATATGTTTTTTTTGGATGATAAGCAAATCACATGTACATAACAACATAACCCTTGACCCATTAGGGTCGTGGAGGTGTATTGATGGAAGCGCTAGCACATAAAACCCGCCATCTTTCTCTGTCTTCTGCTTGATGAATAAGTTTATGAAAACTTAGTCCTGTCTATTTCTTGATGTTGTCATTCCAGGTTTTTCTTTGCCCTCCTCTTCTTCAACTACCCTCCAGTGTTCCTTGAAGTACAGCATTTGCAATCAAATCATGTCTCACAATGTGCCCAAACCAAGCTAGTTTGCAACATTGCACCACTGCCAAGAGAGGCTCCTGATGTCCTGCAAATTTGTATATTTTAAATCACATGTATTGAACAACAAACAAATCACATATATTGAACATGGAATGACACACAAATAATATACTGTGAACAACAGCACAATCAAATACACTGAACAACACACAAAATACCACATGTTGATCAAATAACGTATGCTGAAGAAATAAAAAAGACAAATCACGTACACAGAACAAATAACATACACAGCAAACAAATCACATACACAGAACACCGAACAAATCATATGTACAGATCACAAACAGAACAACAAGTGAATCACATACTGTTATGCAATGGGTGATCATTCGGCAAATAAACAAGCTGTTTAGGGATGTACACAAACTTAAGGCCCACTTGATTCACTTACCAGTAAGACCATTGAAACATCAGTAATATACACTGAACAACAGACAAGTCACATATATTTACAACAGACATATCACATACATTGAACAAACAAAAAATCACATACATTAAACAACAGACAAATCATATGCTTTGAACAACAACAAAATCACATACATTGAACAACAAATAAATCACATACATTGAACAACAAACAAATCACTTACACAGAACAACAAATAAATCACATACACAGAACAACAAATAAATCACATACATTGAACAACAAACAAATCACTTACACAGAACAACAAATAAATCACATACATTGAACAACAAACAAATCACTTACACAGAACAACAAATAAATCACATACACAGAACAACAAATAAATCACTTACACAGAAAAGCAAATAAATCAAATACACAAAACAACGAATAAATCACATACACAGAAAAGCAAATAAATCAAATACACAAAACAACAGATAAATCACACACACAGAAAAACAAATAAATCAAATACACAAAACAACAAATAAATCACATACACAGAACAACGAACAAATCACATACACAGAAAATAAATCACATACACAGAACAACGAACATATCACATACACAGAAAATAAATCACACACACAGAACCGGGTGTTAATCTTGCAGTAGGCAATTCTAGAGGGGATACATTTTCATTGTCAGTGTTCTTTAACAGGGTACATACTTCTTGAACAGACCTCATATATGTCATAGCTGATAATGTTATGTTCAGTCTGCTTAAGAATGAGTTTAGAAAGGACTGTGATAATAACAGGAGTGTCAGGATTCTATGTACATAGCAAATTATAGTTTTTAATGTTGGTTTTGGATTTGAAGAGTTATTTATAAAATATTTATATCTCAGCTAATGTATATATTGCCTCAGACCCATAGTGAAGAATGAAGGTTTGTCTGCGGCATCCCTAATGAATCCCTTTTAAATATCATCGGCCCCAGTTGAAGGGAACTAGAAAAGAGAAAGACACAGAACAGGCTGGAGTGAGAAGATCAAAGAATGGATAAACCAGGATAGTCCTATATTTGTAATTATAACATAGGAAGAGGAAATGTTATCTTTAGATTTAATGTTAAAGCAGGGTAGACCAGGCCCTTAGCCTTGGTTGGCAGGAGGGAGGAAGAAAGCACAGACCAGGCCCTTAGCCTTGGTTGGCAGGAGGTAGGAAGAAAGCTCAGACCAGGCCCTTAGACTTGGTTGGCAGGAGGTAGGAAGAAAGCTCAGATCGGGCCCTTAGCCTTGGTTGACAGGAGGTAGGAAGAAAGCTCAGACCAGGCCCTTAGACTTGGTTGACAGGAGGTAGGAAGGAAGCTCAGACAGGGCCCTTAGCCTTGGTTGACAGGAGGTAGGAAGAAAGCTCAGACCAGGGCCCTTAGCCTTGGTTGGCAGGAGGTAGGAAGAAAGCACAGACCAGGCCCTTAGCCTTGGTTGGCAGGAGGTAGGAAGAAAGCTCAGACCAGGCCCTTAGCCTTGGTTGGCAGGAGGTAGGAAGAAAGCTCAGACCAGGCCCTTAGCCTTGGTTGGCAGGAGGTAGGAAGAAAGCTCAGACCGGGCCCTTAGCCTTGGTTGACAGGAGGTAGGAAGAAAGCTCAGACCAGGCCCTTAGCCTTGGTTGGCAGGAGGTAGGAAGAAAGCTCAGACCAGGCCCTTGGCCTTGGTTGGCAGGAGGTAGGAAGAAAGCTCAGACCAGGCCCTTAGCCTTGGTTGGCAGGAGGTAGGAAGGAAGCTCAGTATCTGCTGGTCAGATAGAGCACTGCATTTTTCTGATCCTGCAGCTTCTGCAGCATGCTTCATTCTAAATGTAGTGATGTTACCTTTCATTTGGATAAACAAGGTAGGCAGTGCGAGGGATCATGCTACAGGGGGCAACACATGGTCTGTACAATACTGCCCAGGCTTAATGTAGTGGCGAGGAAGAACTTGTTCTGGCATTTGTTGGTCTTGTCCATCACCGTGGCCTGTGTTTCCCGTGCTTCACTGTAGTACAATATAACACTGTCATCTGGAAAGACAGAAAGGTGCCTGCAAATAAAAGTAAAACAAAAAGGATAGAGGAAGAGTGTGAGTGTCGATATTTCCTTTCTGACACCCCTTACATCCTATAAATGGGGTTGCCTATTGATGTATTGATGACATATTTCCATGTGATCTTTTGTTCCATGCTACTATAATGTCACATCAGGTTCACTGAAGGTGTTTCTTTTTTTTGTGTGTGCTTGTGGTGGAAGTATTTTAATGTGGATATTTTACATTTGTCTGTCTGTTTGTGAGCAAGAACCTATTTTCTGTGATAGGGCTGACAGAAAGCATGAGTGGTTTTCTATTATCTAGGCACAACAATAGCAGTGAGCACAAGAAGAAGACATCGACAGGTAATCAACACAGAGAAACTTTACAATAGCACAGAATGTCTAGTCAAGGCAGCAAGAACAGCAAGAACCAGAAGCTTATACTTCCCTTGACACCCAGAGCAGTAAAAGAGGAAGTAAAGAAGAAGAAGAAGAAGACATAGGTAATCAACACAGAGAAACCAGAATTTGATCAGTAAGATTAGGAAAAGATTGAAACCTGGAAAACGAGGAAACATTAACAATTGTTCTGTATGTTAGATGAAAGAATTATGAGCATGTATGCTTGCTGGGGCGGCGTCCGTGGCTAAGGCGTTGCGAGTCCGACTCGTGAGCCAGCATACCGCGATCGAAACCCACTGCAGGCTGCGTGGATTTTTGTCGTGGTATGGGACGTCGCAGGTCGATCCAGCCTAAAATGGGTACCAGGATGGGCTGTCCTGGGAAAGTAAAGACAGCCGGCGTAATGCTGACCACATTACCCACAGAGTGCTGATGGTCTGTAAAAATATGGGACGCTCTGCCCATAAGCCCGATGCGCCGAAAGGCGTGAAAAGGGAACTGTACTTTTCTGTACTTTTATGCTTGTTGGGTTTATAATACATAAACTATGAATAATGGGGTTACTCTGAATATTAGACAACAGAATTTGGAGCATGTATGCTTGTTGGGTTTATAATACATAAACTATGAATAATGGGGTTACTCTGAATATTAGACAACAGAATTTTGAGCATGTATGCTTGCTGGGTTGAGGAGGTGATTTTCAACCAAAGAAAATATTGATTATTTATGCCTGATGTGTGCCTAAATCCTGTATTACCACATTTAAGGCTGTGTAAGACAGGCAGGTCATAAGTCTGAAGATTTAAGGCCACATGGTTAGTCCAGTCAGAAAAAATTTCTATCTATCTATCTGCTGTCTTTCTCTGCTTAAGGCTGTTAGGCGTCGCAAGTGATTGGTTTCCAGGATCGTGAGCTTGCTGAA